TTTGTACACCATTGAGGACATATTTATGAATAAAAATATTGATTTCAGATAATAAAATACCTAAAAATCTACACAGAGTCCCTTTAAATTTGCTATATATGGGTTTATTTGTTTTATAATATTTAAAATAAATATAAAACAACTTCAATCTGATTAACTAATGCAGTTTTATTTTTTAAGTTTTGCATTTTAAAGAAATCCCTTCTCCCCGGACGGTATGGCGGGCCAAATCAAAGGATACCCTATAGTTTGGGCATCCCTGATCTAGTAAATGATTTAATCCACTGAACACAGCTGTGGAGATTTAAAAAACACTCTCCCAACAGCATATGGTTTCTTTTTAGCCTTAAAAGTCATTTATTCCCAGTCAAATTTAAATTATATATCACTTGTGAAGGTCTTTTGTATAGATATGGCCAGACGTGCAGTCTACCAATAACATCAGAGCGACAGCACTATAAACGCTCACAAGCGACATCACAGTACAGAGCCTAGCGACACACAGCGACAAAATCGCACGCAACCAAGCGACGCGATACCATTCATTTCAATGGTGAGCGGGCGACTTCCGGGGACACGCGCGACAGCGACCGTTAGCGACCGGTGGGGCGTGTCCAGCGACGCGACAAAGTTGAGAAATGTTTAACTTTATGCAAATGAAGGGCGATTTTCGCGAGCGACAACCAATAGGAGTGAAGTCAGTGGAGCGCGTCACTCTTCAGTGCTGAGTCTGACCGAGGCAAGTTGAACGAGAAGCTCATTTTAGCAGTCAGAAACTGTCCTATAATGGATGATATATCTCCGTGTACATGTGTTCACCGTAGGCTACTGACTCCGTGACTGATTGGTTTCAGGGAACCCAGATAGACCGGTATTTGCCCGTTTGCTGCAGTTAAATTGCCGCGATGGCAAAGAGCACTCACTGTTTCTCACTCATCTTTAATATTGCACTTTATGTACTGATTCCATTTATATTTAGACTTTTCCTCACAAAATATTTGTTTGTAGCGGCAATAAAAACGTATTTGTTGTCTAACATAGAGTACCTTCCGTGAATGTCACTCACAAACATTACTAGGCAACCAGAAGTGGGGAACGCCCTCCAGCGCAAAACGAATGTGGAAACTTCAATGTTCACCCTTCATTTGCCAGCATTGGCCACTTAAAGAACTTCCCTTACTAGTAAATTACCAGAACCAATTTAGCAGTATTTTTTTTGAAAAGGTCCAGTTCACATGATCTCCTGACGGTAATTTACCAGAAAAGACTGAATGTGTGAAAGGGGCCATTTTGTTTTTAGTAAAACCGGCCACAGAAGTTTTAAGTTTGACCCAGATGTGACAAGTGTCACACCTCAGAGTCTTTTACAGATCACGTGTGAACAGGACTTTTTCAAAAATACTGATTAATTGGTTCAGGCAATTTACCATTAAGGTAAATTGCCTGAACCAATTAATATAAAATTGCCTGAACCAATTCATTTAACCATTAAGGTACAATTTACCTTAATGGTTAAATTTACCATTAAGGTAAATTGTAATATTCCCAGTAAATGTAATGTGCTCTGTGTGAGCGTGGGATGAAGATTACCAGTATTGTCACGTGTGAGGTCAGAACACGTTGACGTAAGAAGTCTGCTTTGGGTCAGTCATAAAGTTATTTTGGAGATGACATGGCCCGGGTAGGCTACTTCAATTTCTGCATCCATTCTACGTATGTCTGGCAAAGTATACGTGAGTCTTAAGTTTTTTAATAGTTTTTCTATTTAACGTACACCTGCTATCAATAATTGTATTCCTTAAAACTCATCTTTGATCACCAAAATGACATATTTAAACTTTTGTTTCATGCAAAAATTAGCTTGAATATAACTACACCCTTGCCTCATGTAGTATTTGCAGTTCTATGAATATGCAAATGAGCCCTGACTCCACTCACTCACAGCTCAGAGATTTACTCGTTGACGATCACACGTTGACCTGGGGGGCGTTTTCCTGTGAAACTACATAACTCGCTGCTACACTACCATAGTATGCTCTTGGGAAACACACCCCTGATTGGTTACAAGGTTTGTGACATCAGACACACCAGCGATTTCAAACTGTGTTTTTGAGACTGTCTTTGGTTCACTGCAGTTTTACACAGCTGTTTCAACGGGTCGGGCGCGAGACATTTCCTTCTTTTTCATTCATCAGCGTTACGGATCTGCAGTTCAATACTCTTATACATGTCTTGTCAGTGTTAAATCACTCGCCAGTTTAGTGTGTTATTGTTTCCTCACTTTACTGGGGGAGTGTGTGCGCAAGACAAATATGTGCAAATACTTGTGATTCACAACGCATTCTCACCCCAAGGCGTCATCTTTGACCATGCTTCAATATTTGACGTTTTAGGCGCCCTTTAGCGTCACTTAAATGACGCGATCCTACGGTGTCATCTCACTGACGCTAAAGGAAAGAGAGGACGCGGTTAGGTTTAGGTGTGGGGGTAGGGTACACGCGATCCTAGATGACGCTAAAGGGCGCCTAAAGCGTCAGATATTGAAGCATGGTCAAATGCTTCCCAAGGCGTCAGTTAAGTGACGCCTTGGGGGTGAGAATGGGCTGTGATTCATCATGATATATTAAATACATTGTATTTCAGAATCTGTGCGTATCTGGCATACTTGAACATCCACATCACAACTTTTACGTACCCTATTATAAGGACGTTGGACGTGGATTTTTACTGCTGTTAAAGCTGTAGTATACGATGTTGAAAATCGGTCGAGAAAGCCTGAAATGGGAGGGAAGTTTTAAAAAACTCATCCCGCCTCTCCACACACACACACCCCTCCCCTCTGCTACCTGATTCCTCCCAGGAAACGAATTGAACAACGTTACTCAGTCAAGTTGTGATCATCATACTTTCACAACATTGCTTAGCCGCTTCAATCTAATGACATTGCTAATGAAACATCAAATGTAAAATTGCCTTTAGACACTTGAACTTAGTTGCTTCATCAACAATTCAATGACATGTTTGAGATCACGCCAACGCAAGATTAGCAACACATGAAATGTTCTACACTACCCACCACCATAAGTATGATATTAGTAGTATTGCGAAGGTTTTGAGTAATTGTTATAGCAGCATACAGCGCATCTTGTTTAAATTCCGATCGGCTCGAACAGAAACCCGCTAGGCATACTGAAATATAATCAAGCACCTCAAGAAATATATTTACTTTGACCCGTGATAGGCGATGCTAAACAGCTAACATTCCAATGCCGACCGGCAGCATTATCAAGTTGTCAGACTGATAAAAAGCTATTTATGTAACACGTCACGCGACTCACGCCGTATAAGAGTATAAATAAATGTTTAACGTTACCTGCTCAACAAAAAGTCAGCAGTGTCAGCATCGGTATTCAGTCCCAGATCTCGCTGAAGCTTCCTCCATCGGTCAATGGTGGACCCTATATTTATTCTCCTCAAATTTCGGCATTCTTCACATTTTCTTGTAGGGGCAAGCAGAGGACGCTTGCTGATGTATTTTTCTTTTTTATCCATTGCTGATATGCTACTTAGCTAGCTACCATATGCGGTCAGCTGCTAACGCGCGATTCTCATGACGCAGAAGGGGGGCGCGGTCGGGCGTGGTTGGGCGCGGTCGGGGTGGAGACGCGAGCACCAGGCGGAGTTTCAAGTGTAGCTGGTGATTGGATGAGAGCAGTTGACCAATGTAGCTTTGCGGCCGCAAAGCTTTCATTGGTCAACTTTTATGCGGCTGTACAGCCAATAGAGTGAATGGATTTTTTTCGTTCTTTTTTCTATTCATATTTTTAGGATTGTACTATATAACCATAACCAGCATCTAAACGAGGATATTAATAATGAACAATCTTTGAAATCGTATACCCTAGCTTTAACAGGAAACCAGCCCTGGCCGACAGATCACCAAAGACACAAAATCTAATTTCCACAAAAAACTTTATTTTTGTCGTGGAAATAAAAATGATAAGTTAAAGAATAATGGCTTCAGGGTGCCACAAGGCCAAAATAACAAACAAAATAAACGTATAAACAAAAATACTTAAATTACCTAAACAGGGAGTAAACCAAAAATACAAAATAATTTCCCTAACTTAACTTAAATATACCCGATAAATAAACAAATCGCAAACGAAGTCAAATTAAATGGCAGTACACCCCTACGTTCCTATATCATAAACAAAGTCGAAGTAACTCATCACCAACAAGCAATCATAATAAAGTTGAAGTGTTTGGGATCTGTCGAATACCGTTTTATCTGTTTTCTACATTTTGTGCGGAAATAAAACAAAACTATCGACTTGGACTATTCCTTTTCTTCCTTCTGGGGCTGAGACGAGAGTTCAAGAGATTTCCACTATGCATGCGCGAGAATTGCGTTGTTATTCTACTCTTGCGCAATTCTCGCGTATGCGTCGTGGAAATCTCTTGAAGTCTCGTCTCAGGCCCAGAAGGAAGAAAAACATTAGTCGAATAAAGTCGTTATTTTTGGTTGTTTTTTCGCACAAAAAGTATTCTTGTCGCTTGATAAACTTATAGTTGAGCCACTGTAGTCACATGGAATATTTAAACATTTTCTTCATTGACTTGCTGGGCCGTCAAGTTTCAATCCCTTAGGAGCCTATGTAGCAGTGATCCAGCTCTCAGATTTAATCAAAAATATCTTAATTTGTGCTCCGAAGACGAACGAAGGTCTTACGGGGTTGGTACAGCATGGGGGTGAGTAATTAATGACTTCATTTTCATTTTTTGGGTGAACTAACCCTTTAAACATTTATTTAAAACATTAATCACTGATGAGAATATTCCTTCAGAATACATTAGGCTATGTTTATACCTTAACAATCATCCCGGAATAAAATACTGTTATTTTACATTTGAAAATAACTGTCAATATCTGTATGTGGATACCGTGAGGTATACATTATTTAATCTGTTGCATCTTTGTTCTATTTTTTTGGGGAGCCACTGCTTGTAACTAGGTTTATATGTTCTTTTTTCTTTCTCTTTTGTTAAGTATATTTGTTCTTTTTTTATAACATTTGAACTTTATAGAAAAGTCTTTAGTTAGTTTTGGTGTGGTACTGAAAATGTCACTGGTAGGCCTATTTAAAATTGTGTAGCTTTTTTATTTGAATAAAATGTTAGATGAGTAAACACAACAAAAGCATTGAACTAATTTGATCACTGTTATAAGTTGTCTTCTGTGTAGCTGTAATGAGTGTGTGGAGGGGCTGGGGGGAGGGGGGGGGGGTTCAACACTGATCTTCCATTCCCCTCAGCAGATGTGCTTCGATCCACCAATCAGGATCCTCCAGCTGCAATCACTCCCTGCACACGCAGAACATCAACAACCCACACAACAAATACAGAGAATCAAAACACAACGCAAACAAATAAAACAACACACGTGTTCATTTTCAGTGAAGCAAAAGCAAAGATTAAAAAGCATTTGGTTAACAGAAAATACTATTTTTTAACATTCTGAATTATTTTGATGTTCTTTGTACTGTATTATTCTGTCCACCTAAAACATGTTTTTGGTCAAAATGATGAGGATGAAAGAGGAAGGGAGGAGAGGGCTGGATGACAGGATTTTATTTAAAGGGTAACTAAACACCAAAACAACTTTTTTTAGTTAATGATCTGTAAGAATGGAGCTTCATAAATGCTGTTCATTTTTTGACAATTGAGTATAAAGTGTTTTGATTTTCAAATATATGCTGTAAAAACGTCTGAGTGCTGCCCTCTTCAGGTTAAACGGAAAGCTCCTGCAGTAGGGGTACTTTCTGACGTAGCGAACTCTCAGACGCGACTCTGTCACACCCTTGGTGCGAGCTCACCACGCCCTTGGCAGCCCCTGGTATAAAAGCATCTGGTTCCGTCAAAACTACTGTAGCGAGTCAGGAGGAGTTGGATTTATGAGTATTGAAAACGATCAGGATAGCATAGGCATAGCCTATATTAACATCTAGTTAGCATAGCATTTATATAGTTATTTAGATTATTTAGATTATTTTTGAAAGCGACCAGGATAGAGTATTGTTGCATCTATTTAGCATAGCATTATATAGATAATTTAGATTATTTTGTGTAGCTAGTAGCATAGTACAGTTAGGATAGCTTCAAGTTAGCATAGATTTATCAGTGTTTAGTACAGTGATCAGGATAGTAACGGAATAGAGGTGGACATGGGCTTCTCCACACGCAGTGCCAAACACTGCTCGTCCTGCATGGCCTCCTCCACCGCAGCGTCGTCTTGATGTGAGTGATCATGGATATTTTAATCACAATTTATGGTTAGGATAAAGTTAATCCTCTGGGGTCGACAAACGAGCCGGTGCATTTTGCTGGATTTTTTCACATAGCGGCAGAATATCAATATGAATACATGCCCACAGAGCGTGCGCTATTGAGATCAACTCGACGACAAAACTCATCAGATGCTGGTCGCGATGCGGGAGTTAAGACCGCAGTTTGAGCCAGCGGCTCGAATGCATTTGGCCCTGTGTCTACATACAATTCACCCTCATCCACTTCAGGTGAAGGTGAGGGAGAAAAGTCCTCGACTTCAAATGGCCGCTCTGTTGCAAAGGCAGCTACTTGCGTCACTCCAGTCTCTCTCTATTTTAGAGTCTGACAGCAGCTGTCACTCACGGCGGGTCTCAGGTGCACGCCCCCTGGCCCCGCTGGGGTCTGCCCATTTTTTCAGCATTTTTCAAATATTGCTAGGCGGTGGAGTCAGGCTCTGACCAGGGGTTTAGTTACCCTTTAAAGGGTCATGAAACCCCCCTCTTTCAGCTCAAGTCTAGCTCACAATATTTCACACTATCACAATATAAAATATGACGTAGTTAATCTAGTTTATTTCTTCTTTTTTTCTTTGGTTTCATAATTTTTTCCACTTCCACTGAGAGTTTGACAGAAATATATATTTTTATTATTATCAAGGCGGAAGCCCAAAACATGCAACAACAGACATGGATCTTGCGCAGATTCTTTAAATTGGGCATATTTATAGCTGTCAAACATCAAAATATTGACAACAAAATCAACAAAAATGTCACTGATAACAAGTGTGTGTACACCATGTATCCTGCAGCCTATGATAAGGTCTGTGTTGAGTGACACACACACACACATTTGTGCAGTGAGGTTCAAAAGAGAAGCAGTTTTGCCTGATGAAAATGTGTGCCTTGAAATCATACAGTCGTGAGTTAAACATCTTCAAGAGTAAGTGGTCGATTATGTTCTGTTTATGGGAGATGTTAAAACTATCGCAACTGATTCCCTATTGTGATGTTTTGCCAGAAAGTGCAGGAAACTATCGTGAAGTGCTTATTATTGGCAGAAACTATCGTGAAATGCTTATTATAAACACTTAGTTAAAGAAATTACTTTCCTCAGGGAAATTTTCCCCTTAGGGATACAATCAATAAAGAGTTTTCATGCAACCGGGTCCTGATACACACTAACAAATGCCAATCTGTAGTAAAGTCAGTGTTTCACAGACAGAGATTCAGAGCTCACAGTAACTCACCTGATGATGATCATCATCTCGCCGTCTCCTGTTTCCTGTTTGAACAACAACACACTCTTTGGTCAATTAGAAAACAAATACTTTTGTTTAAATATTTTTAAAGATTATTTTGCACATTAAATATCTTATTTATATTTTCTACAATCTGCTGTATGTAATACTTGCCTGATCATTTTGATCAGCATTCGCAACAGCAACAGTAAAACTTAACAGTCACAGCAACTGCAGCAACCGCAGCAGCCACAGACAGAATAACACCAGCAACAGCTAAAATTATATCACCTAAAGATGATCCTGAACCTGGAACAGCCGAAGACACACACACACACACACACACACACACACTATTACTAGAGATCGACTGATAATCAACTCTCTATAATCAATACTGTTGACATAGCCTATTTACACCATTATGCTTTCAGTATAAAGTTGTATGATATTGATTAATTCGATAAATGGTGTGTTTGAGCAACAGCAGTGAAATCAGCGGATTCACATGAAAAGTGACTAATATTGAGCATTTTTCTTTATTATTAACATAGGGCTGGGCGATATATCGCACGATATTGTTATGCGCATCTAATCAGTAAAGCCGGTTCCTTGATTAGTAGTAAATCACCTTCACCTGCTTTCAGATGGAGCGCATTTACTACAAAGAGCCGTAGTTCACTGACAAGCTGAGCCATATCGCATTAATATCGAGAACATATCGCAAACGATAATTAATGTGATATGGCTCAGCTTGTCAGTTAACTACGGCTCTTCATCACGACAAAATCTCCCGTGTTAAATTAACACACCTGGGAGTGTATATGAGTCCACACTCAGGAGTGTTAAAGTTAATGAGATAATTAAGTGATTAATTGAGTGATGATTGAGCATTATTGAAAACACCTAAAGCAGAATCACTGAAGGAGAAAACTGGAATTTCAGGTCACCGTTATGGCGATCAGTGTTTGCTTTAGTTGGGCTCTTGACTCTTAAATTCTTAACTTTAGATTTTGTTTCACTGTTGTATCTGAGTTTCACCTGCCAGATGAACAAAGAAAAAAAAGTGATCTAATGGTGTTGGTTATATTATGAGATTCATGATTTGAAATTTATGCTTCTGATTTATTTTGCTGGTAACACCATAACTGAGATTTTGCATAAATATCCAGAATTTTAGATATGATATAATGGATTTCTTAAAAGAAAAAAATTATCTTTCTTTAAGGCACACACAGACATCAAGATTCAGTCAATGCATCTCAACAATGGTGACGAGCAGAATATTCAATTAGGAAAAGTAAATTACATAGACAATTCAGATCATAATTTATTCATACCGCAATGCATGATGGGAGCCATTAATGATTGGTGGCAACAAGGATTATTATTGTCACCACGGTTGAGATTCACAGGCTGATTATTGATGTCTGTGTTTCTAAATAAATGCTTTTGAAAGTGATGTGATCAGAACAATGTTTATTAAATATTTTGGATTATAAGAAAAATGTGGATTATCATATGCTGTAGATTCATGAAACGGTTGCCAACAAGTTAAACCAGATCATCTGAATGAGTTTCATTTTTCAGATCACAGCATGATTATGTCAAAACATAACCAACACTATCAGATCACACTTTTCTTTGTTCATTTGACTGTTATAAATCAATAACAGCAGACAAACAAAAATTAAACAGAGCGTATAAGTGTCAAAAGCCGAACTAAAGCAAACACTGATCGCCAAAACGGTGGCTTACAATTTTACATTTTCTCCTTCAGTGATTCTGCTTGTTATCATCAGGTGTCTTCAATAATGTGCAATCATCACTAAATTAATCACTTAATCATCTCATTAACTTTAACATTCTTGAGTAGGGATGTAATGATTCACTCGTTTTCTCGATGCATCAATTACAAATCCTGATGATGCATATGCATCGATCCTGAAACATGTATTTTGAATCGTGAATCGTTTATTTACATGAATAATTGATTTAAAAGGCTAAGAATTGAATTAATCGCGATTCTATCCACAAGTTTCCGAGGGGCGCTCCTGTAAAAAATAAAGTGGGTGAAACTTACGGTGAGGCGGCGGAAGTAGCATTCCAATGGTATTTTGTGTGTTAGTTAGCGAAGAGGCTAGCTGTTTTTCAGAGAATTATTTTACTATTTAAAGACGCAAATCTTTATGAGAGATGTCGTTACGGAGCTCAGGGACAACATGTGCTGTTCACGGTTGTATGTATAACCGGACTAAACTAATTTAGCGGCTTAAACGGGATTGTTTTGAACAAGCTGAAAACGAAATCAGAGTGATCCTGCCAACGACTGTAGTTTCCATCACCTCCCAAAGGACAACGAATCTTCCTGTGTACATTTGTTTAAATTCTTATTATTCTATAAACTCTATCAGCATGTGTTTGGCTGTTCGCTACTGATGTTACACCTAAACTCAGGATTAAAGCCTGTGTTGACAGAATACCAAATGTGCCAGTTAATGCAAGTTATTCAAGTAGCACATTCATTTATAATTTTGAATAAACTCCGACCAAAGCACAATGACTAAGTCTGTATTTTTTATTTTAATTGTTTGTCAGCTCGCACAACTGTCTGTCACCATGCCTTGATGAGTATTGATTATTAATAATGTTATTATAATGCTCCCAATCAACTACTGCGGAGGGTAAAGGTACTGTTATTTCACCCTTTTGAATTTCGTTGAGGTAGTGTTCCCACATCGTTAGCTAGTTTGGATCGCTATAACTTGAATGACTGTCAACTGTTGAATGAACGAGTGTCAAGCATGTCAAATCGCGCTTTGTTTACTTCCAACCGGAAGTCGCGCCCACTTTTGACGCAAGGCCTCATGGGGCGTAGGAAACTTGTGGATAGCGATTCAGTAGTTTAAAATATATAAACACAACCTTAACGTGTTCCTGGTACAAGCTGCCTCACGCAAGACATCCGCATTTGATTGGTTTCACGCGCTCACACACCCCTGATTTCTCACGCTGAAGCCCGGTCGGTCAAATGCCTGAAAGATGAGTTTATCTTTCTACCTGTTGAGCTACTCGTGATCGGCTAGTATTACTGCAAATTAGTTAAAATCTCCCGGAATCTAGAGTGAGCGTGCATGCGAGACAGAGGTTGTGCTCCGCGTATTGAGGAAAAGTACATGTATATGCATGGCATTTCTGAATAATGTCCCTAGGGGCACCTCATATATTGCGCCTACACGCACTCAGCAGAGAGGGAAAGACTTGCGTGTACGGAGAGTTTTCGTTTTCTCACATAAAAACCACTCGTTTCGTGTCTTAGGCCATCAACGTGTACTTACATTTACGAGTCATTAAATCATGTTTAATTTGGACTTCTCTGTGCATGCTCTTTGAGGTGGTGACCATAGACCTCCATTATATGACTGACAGACAAAAACGGTTTGACCGAAAAATGTCAAAATTGAAAATACTGTGGAAACAAAGACACCTACATCTTGGATGCCCTTGAGGTAAGATAAAACATATCAAAAATTAATTTCAAAGTGACATTTAATATTAAGCAGCAATCAATTCCACCTTGGGGCTCTGAAGAACTGCTTGTGAATTATGGTTGATATTGTACATTTACATCTGAATACATAACATGTGTTTTAGAATGGATAGTGTACTTTTTCAACTCGACTGTTATTGAACAGTAAAGTGAAAATCCTGTAAATTATTTTGTATTCAGTTGTAACTGTTTTTGCTTTTTTATGGGCTACAGGATCGTACAGAGAGCAGACAAGAAGTGAAGAGGGAGCAAGAGGAAGCGATGGCATCGGAACGGACCTCGAGCTGGGACTCTACTGCACAAGGCTGTCGCATTTTATTGAGATGCTAAGTTTTTCTACTGTTACTGTACATTTTAAATATTAAATGTATTTCATCTAAGTTTTACTGTAATTGAACAAAAACTGTCTATTAAGTATTCCATTCAGATTTGTACTTTACATTAACATTACTTTGAAAACACTGCAAGTTAAAGTTTTCAGATGTAGGAAGTATTTTTTGACTTTTTTGTTTTGTTTTCCAAAATAAAACTTGTTTTAAAATCTTGAGCATGTGCTAACTCTTTATTAAATGTGTTTGTAATTAAGCCATTGCAGTCAGTCATTTGACATTAAACAATTTTTTAGTGTAGGCTAGGCTACAGTACAGTTAATAACTAAATCAGTTAGCATTGTTATGATCGTGTTCCAAATTCAAACTACGTTGTAATTGAATGTATAATTGTACTCCCATGTTGAAAGATAAGACTGAAACAACATCACGATAGCAACGTTGATTCAATTTGCAAAACCGAAGCATAATTAAATGTTGGTTTAACTTCGACATGCAACCTTTACTCACCCATATTGAAAGGAGAGACCGCGAAACAACTTCGCGACATCAACGTTGATTAGATTTGCAAAATCGAAACATAATTCAATGTTGATCCAACCTTGGTCTCTGACGTTGTTTGTTTCATCGGTGAATCAACGTTAAAATGCCAGCTGGGAACAACACACTGCAAAACACAAAGTGAAAGCATGTCGAGCATACTAATAATAGAGGTCGCTAAGACATATGTGACCAACTGGACGGCAACGTCATCAGAACGCAGGAGGGTATGGCTGGCTGGCATGTGTGCTGGCATTGCTGGCTTGCTTTCTGGAAAAAAAAAAAAAACCCCCCCCCCCCCCCCAAAAAAAAAAAAAAAAAAAAAAAAAAAAAAAAAAAAAACAGCTGTGTAAAAAAAAAACATAATCATACAAAACGCAGCGGGCTAAAGATAGCATTGTCAGACCATACCGCCCAAAGTTAAATCCTAATAATGCAAAGACGAGATATGAGGAGAAAATAAAGGGAACGTTCCCAAACTTCCAGCACCCATATATATACACACAACATGACATTAGTGCATACTAGGGTTGCCACCTTCATTGAGGCAAAATAAGGCACACCCATAAACGAGATAAATAAATAATAAAATAAAATAAAATAAAAATGTGTCAAGGGCATGGAACTGATTATTTCAACATGACAACTTGACAGCTCAGCAAAAACCACGAGAAAACATGAGATCAAGTATGTGAGCTTGTAACAGAAAAAAAATATATTATTATTTTACATTTTATTATTTTACTTAAATAAAAATAAAAACTCTTCTGTATATGTTAGGGATAACTGAATCAGTAATCATATTTTTGACAATTCTGCATGGATGGTATATTTTTATTGTTTTTATTTACTACTTAAATTGATTTGAATTTGATTTTGAAATTGTTATTGTTTGTCTAATTTTTATGTAAAAAATTTAGCACTTTTAAAACTTTCTTTTAATTGCCAATAAACTGCCAGTCAGCCACTGGCAGCTGCCAGTACTGGAGGTTAATGGACTCGGAGTCCGATCACTCTTTATTTGATAATTCTGAATCTGATCGGGACGAAGTAGTCAGTGAGAGAGATGCACATGTTGTCACAGAAAGTTCTAGCCATGGACGTGCCGCAGATAGATCGTATAATATTATGACACTATAATATGTATGTGTGTGTGCAGGCATTTATGTGTGGCTGTCTAAATATGAAGGTGTAATTGTCAAATTATTTCTCTCTTTGTGCACATTTACCACATTGTAATATGTATTTGTGTGTATGTGTGTGTGTGTGTGTCTAGGCCTGTTTATTGTAATTCCAATTATTCATTATTCACAGGTAGAACACAGAGAGGCAGAGGCAGAAGTTTTATTGCAAAAGTTACATTTCCCTTACATCCTGGGAAATTTGATATATTTTACATTTATTTTATGTTTTTAATTTATTTTGGAAAGTTTTATATATGAAGGAAACAACATCTGAATGTATTCTGCTTTTAAATGCACTTGTTTGATAAAAATACCTTTTTCTCAGTTTTTTGTCCAAAATGTTGTGTTTTTGACAAAACCTACCTCTGTTCAAGAGGCAATAAAAAAAGAACAGATGAAGATAAAATAAAAACGTTTTTTTTTGCCTAAAAGCAGAGGCTCAGATCTTTATTTTTATATATATCATCTTCATATATTCATGGAAGAAAATATTCAGCGGGGCATTCAAATTTAGCGAAAATCGTCAAAAACCCTGGCGGTGGCTGGCAACTTTTTTTTAAAACGCTGGCGGGGAAAGAGTTAACAAATAGTTACCTGTCTACCAAGCTCTGACAATGTATAGAATATTATTATTATTATTATTAATATTATTTATTTATTTTCCAAACCCTAATAGTTAAAACAGCTAAACTTCAACATTTAACATCAGTAGTGTGTGTGTCTGCATGCGGTTGAAGGGCTTTTAAATGATTCAGCTTTAGCTTAGCTCAGTTAATTCTAAGAAAAAAATCACAGATTCTAGCTTTTATAAGTGAATCTGATCTGTTTTAATGGCATATATAAATACAGATATTTCAAGTTATTTTCCATTGTATGAAAACCATGCACATACGAAAAACGTTTACCTTTGCTGCTAAATTAAAGAAACAATCTAATTTTGTTTAACAAACTCTATTTGGCTCAGAGCCCAAGGCACACAGTATCTCTCTTACTGAGGTCGTGTCACAGTATGGAAATTATTATCAATTCAAAATGTAAAAATAGGCGCCATGATAACATTTATAAATGCTATTATTGTATGAAAGCAGGAACCATTCACACCATTAAAACGCTTGCACAGTAGCCAGTAACAGTTGTGAAATATATAACAATTTAGTTAGATATTTGGTTGCAACAAAATACTAAATATGTTTATGTAACTAAATTGTTATATATAATAAACCTTGGATCTTTGATCACAAATGTTGTAAACCAAATACTAGTGTAGAGTGTGTAAAAAAATGATTGTGATTTTAACAGTAAAAGACTGTAAAAATGCTACAGTGAAAAACTGTTAATTGGTTAACAGAAAGTTTATATATATACTGTAAATAACTGTAATATAATGGTACATTTAATGTAGTTTTACTGTAAAATACTGTTAAATTTACAGTTTTTGGAAGTGAAAAAGAAGTCATTGTATAATTTACAGTGAAAAAAATGTAAATTGACATCCCCACAATTCCCTGCGTGTTTCTTCATAATTAGTTTTTTTTTTCTAATCAGTTATGTACATTAGGGTTTTATGTTACATTTAATGTTGTTAAATTAATACTTAATTTTTTTAATTTCAACATAAATTTTTAGGTTTTTAATGTTTGTGTGAATGACACTGTGCAGCTTCTAATACAGAACATTGAACAGTATAACATTATATCAGATAATGAAATAGGGTTTATGGTGTAAAATTAAATATGGTTAAAAGTCTGTACAGGAACACTCTATTAACCACAGCTGCCAGTTTTTTCCTGTAAATTTAACTGATTTTTTTTTACAGTGTATCTCTGAGTAAAACTGTCAGTTTAGAGTAGACACAGATGGTTGATCGAGAGGTTAGCTGGTTAATAGAGGTGTAAAACATTGGCAAAACTAAGAACGGCTTGTTAACTTTCTCATTGTTATCTAATTGTTATTTCTGAATGTCAAAAATGTCCAATTTTTACATGTCTTACCTTTTTTCTTAGTTATGTGAGCATACACATTCAATTTTATATCTATGAAATATTATTTGAACATTAACAAACTATTTAATAATAACTAATGTTTCTGTAAAATCCCATTAGTCTCAGTCTCACTGAGGTTTCCCACTATCATCATCCACCTGTGCAGTCCCATTCCTCTGCTTAAGGGGCACTGTGACATCATTCTCCTGAAAGAAAGAAGCAGATTCACAGAAGGTCAAACAAATGTTCAGGATTGATGAATCGGTTAAACACAGAAATGTGTTTTTCTCTCTGATGTTTGTGAATGTAGGACACCTATTCTTTATTTCTGAAGTAAAACAACACAAGAGAAGCACTGTCTTAAATAAGCCTGTTATTATCAGTGATTCTGTGTGATGATTTATAAATGAAACTCAAACGGTCTGGTTGCAACAAAGTCCTTAAAGGGACACTCCACCAATTTGGATTAAGATTTCCATTGTTAGAAATCCAGTCATAATATTGAATGGTCGTGCAACACTCTCTCATTTTCAAGTTTAAGTGGAGCCCTTAGTGAAACATGGGTTGCAAGAAAAAAACCTTAAAATCTTCATTAAGTATTATCCAATTGTTTAAGTGTTTCCTTTAGTTCTGTAATGTGTTGCAACCAGGGTTTAAAATGAACAAATGCGATTAAAAATCAACAGTGAAATGCGGATTACACTGTCAAATCACTCGCCAGTTTAGTGTGTTATTGTTTCCTCGCTTTACTGGGGAGTGTGTGTGTGTGTGTGTGTGTGTGTGTGTGTGTGTGTGTGTGTGTGTGTGTGAGACAAATATGTGCAGATTTAGAGCAAATACTTGTGATTCATCATGATATATTAAATAATCTGTGCAGATCTGGCTTACTTGAACATCCACATCACAACACACAAAAGAAAACGACGCACTTCATTTTCATTGAAGCAACAGCAAAGATTAAAAGCATTTGGTTAACAGAAAATACTTTATTTTTCAACATCCTGAATTATTTTGATGTTCTTTGTACTGTATTAATCCGTCCACCTAAAACATGTTTTTGGTAAAGAGGGTCAGGATGAAAGAGGAAGGGAGGAGATGGCTGGATTACAGGATTTTCTTTGATTAAGAAATTAATGTATAAATTCAAATATTCATATAAACTGTGACGTAGTTAATCTGGTTTATTTCGTCTGTTTTTCTTTGGTTTAATAATTTTTTTCCATCACTTCCACTGAGAGTTTGACAGAAATATATATAGTTATTATTATCTTGTATGCTTAAGTTCAAGGCGGAAGTCCAAAACATGCAACAGACATGGATCTTGTGCAGTTTCTTTACATTTGGCATATTTTTAGCTGTCAAACATCAAAACAAAATCAACAAAAATGTCACTGATAACAAGTGTGTGTACACAATGTATCCTGCAGCCTATGGTGAAGTCTGGTTTGAGTGACACACACACATTTGTGCAGTGAAGTTCAAAAGAGAAGCAGATTTGCCTGATGAAAATGTGCGCCTTGAAATCATGCAGTCGTGAGTTAAACATGTTTACAAGCAGTCGATTATTTTCTGTTTATGGGAGATTCCCTATTGCGGAGTTTTGCAAGAACTATCGTGAAGTGCTTATTAACACTTCGGTAAATCAATTACTTTCCTCAGGGAAATTTTCCCCCTATGGGATACACTCAATAAAGAGTTTTCATGCAACCAGTCGTGATACACACTAACAAATGCCAATCTGTAGTAAAGTCAGTGTTTCACAGTCAGAGACTCAGAGCTCACAGTATCTCACCTGATGATCATCATCTCACCGTCTCCTGTTTCCTGTTTGAACAACAACACACTCTTTGGTCAATTAGAATAAAAATACATAATTATACATGTTTTTAAAGTTTATTTTGCACATTAAATATCTTATTTATATTTTCTACAATCAGCTGTATGTAATACTTGCTTATTTTTTTAAACATTTTGTAACCGAAAATCCCAGCAGCTCCAGCCATAAGAAAACCACCACCAGCAGCAGCAGCACATATTTCTCCTATATCATCTGGAGATAATCCTAAATCTGGAACATCTGGAAATAATCCTGAATCTGGATCAGCTGAAGACAATCCTGAATCTGGAACATCTGGAAATAAGCCTGAATCTGGATCATCTGAAGACAATTCTGAATCTGGAACATCTGGAGATAATCCTGAATCTGGATCATCTGAAGACAATTCTGAATCTGGAACATCTGGAGATAATCCTGAATCTGGATCATCTGAAGACAATTCTGAATCTGGAATATCTGGAGATAATCTTGAATCTGGAACATCTGAAGACACACACACACACATTACTAGAGATCGACTGATAGTCAACTATAATCAATATTGTTGACTTATATTTACACCATTATGCTTTCAGTATAAAGTTTTATGATGTTGATTCATTCGATAAACGGTGTGTTTTTGAGCAACAGCAGCGAAATCAGCGGATTCACATGAAAACTGACTAATATTGAGCAATATTTCACTATTATTAACAAAAGAATTAAAAACTTGTCAAATTCATAATGTGACAAAACGCAATGTGAAAATTGTCAGTCTTTAATGTGCATAAGGTCATGGATATTATCCCCAATGAAATTAAGTTTTTTAAGGATTTAAGTTGCACTATTTCAGGCTGTATTATAAAAAGAATCAATTGAAAATGCACTGAATGATGAAATGAACCTCACCAGTGACAGAAACACTGAAGATCTTAGTGATGCTGAATCTGCTGTTGCGGACTAGTAGTGTGTATTCTCCAGAGTGTGTTTATCTGGTGTGTGTGATGGTCAGAGATCCAGTCTGATGATCCAGCTTCAGTCTGTCTCTGAATCTCTCTTTACACTGAACATCTGTACAGATCTTACTGAGATCTCTATTGATTTCAGCGATGCGAATGTCATTATAATACCATCTAATTCTGTCTTGTTGGTTTGTTTGAACACTAGTGTTTAGAGTGACTGAATCTCACTATAAAGAAAACGTTTCTCACAGGGTTGAAATGATCTATTACAGTTGCACATGTGCAACTATAATACTGCTTCTCGAGCAACTATTATATATATATATATATAAATATAAAGAACATATTGTTGGATCTTCTCCTAGTATTATAAACGTGTGTGTCATCCTGCATGGCCTATTCTGCAACGGGTGTAAACAATCTGATCCCATCGGTTTGAGATTTGATAACAATAATTCTTCCAACACTGGTGCTGATTTTAGGAAGTTTGTTCGTTGCATATTAATCCCATTCCATATGCCATTTGTTATTAATATAGAAATTAATTATTGGTTATATATCATTAAGAGGTGCTGTGTGAATTCTGACATCTACTGATAATGTCTCTTACGGCTGAGTCTATTTCCTCATTTCCTCTGATTTTAGTGTCCAAAACAAAACCAGATATTAAACTGATGAGTCTCTAGTTCAAGCAGTTTATAAAGAAAATAAAGGGATGGCATTGCTTGGAGACATGACTTCGAATCTGTAATTATAAGAACAATTCTGTGTTGCATAGTCTTTAAATAATCGAATGGCAGAATTATAAAACTTGTGATTCTACTTTAAAAATTGAGTGTTTACAGATGGATGTTCCTCTTTTTTGATGTATTTGAATGCTTTTCGAAGCAATGCAGGTCAGATGTTATAAATGACAGTTATAACATGTAAGAGAAATGTAAGAGGGTTATAAAGTAAATAATTATTTGTAATGCTTCCTTTTACCATCCTGTTATGTACAAACTATTAGTATTATACTTATTATAGTAATTACAATGGTAATAACTAGTTACTAAACTTGAATATTCCCCTAACCCATGTACTTACCTTATATTAGCCAGTACTTTCTAGGTAAGTACACAGTAAGTACACGCAAGTACTGTAAAATGAAGCGTTACCGAATTATCACCGTGAAAAGTTGTAAAGGTAGTTCGTCTTGATGCTTTTATTCTGTATCTTGTTTACACACATTTTCTTATGTTTTCAACTAAAAGAATATCTCAAGATATAATGTAAGAATGTTGTGTACATCTATAAGCTCATTAAGAACTTGTGATAAAAAACATTTGTAAAAACTAAAAAGTAACGCCTTTCTCGTTAAACTTCATTTAAATAAACAAATATTAAGATTTCTTTATGAGCCCAAATATTCTAATGCAATATTTTTGAAAACGCCCATCCCTAATTTATATAAATAAAAGCCCAAGTTAAATTTGATCATCAAGTGATCAAGTGATTTACTATCTTCAGAAAATTTGGACTAAACCGCTTAATTCATTTCTCTTTATGAAAATGTTGAACACGAAACTAAAACAGGTTTTGCAACAGTGTAACTTATATGAACAATAATGAGATTTTAAAGGTAAAGAGAAAAAACACCTCTTAATGTCAAAGCAAAATAGTTCACTGAACACATTAATGATGTGATTTAAATGTACAAGACTTGCTTTTAACATAATGACTCACCAGTGACAGAAACACTGAAGATCTTTTCAGTGACTCTGGTGAATCTGCGGCGAATGATCTCCAGTGTATATTCTCCAGCATCTGTGTTTCTGGTGTTCTTGATGTTCAGAGATCCAGTCTGACGATCCAGCTTCAGTCTGCCTCTGAATCTCTCTTTACCACTTTTACACTGAACTTCTGTACAGATCTTCCTGAGATCTCCAGTGATTAGAGCGATGCGAATGCCATTATAATACCATGTAATTTGCTTTTGTTGTTTTGTTTGAACATCAGTGTATAGAGTGACTGAATCTCCCTCCATCACTGACACTGACTTTTCTTCTTTATCAACACCTAAAAAAGCCTGAAGAAGAAATGAACAGTTCATTATGAGCTGAACAATGTTATATAACAGGAAAGTGCTGTGACAGTGTTCATAAAGATTGTGAGTAGAGAAATCTGTCTTGATTTATAATGTAACATGTAATCAAACATCAGAAGATCATCATTGATTCACACGTTCACTCATCAGACAATCATACATGAGTCTCATGAAGGATCTTATGCAACTTGATTTCAGCAGTGACTGACTATGAATCCTTCATATTACCTTAGGAAAGATGAATCTTAAAATCATACAAATATTTAAAAACTTGAAAAAACGTGGATGCTCAAGAGAGAAGTGTGATGCATTACAAGCCTTTTTTTAATTGCATGATCAAGGTAAATCATCTTAATGTGTCTTGTATTAAACATGCTGCCTAATTTATTGTTCTCTACAGTTTATGACTGTTTTTTCCTCATTATTTTTTGTGCAGCTGTGTTGCTTTTCAGTGACAATTCCTCATTTGTCCTTTAACCCTCATTGTTATTGCTTTCAAATCAAAGATTTTGTTATGGGTGTGCTGCTCATTTTCCTCAAAAGTATCAAAAGATTTATTCAGTATTTCTGTTGATATCAGTCAAAATGAGCTATTTTTAATCAGCAGCAAAGCAGGCATACAATAAGACATCAAAGATGTTTGAAATTATTTATAATAAAATAAAAATAAATACAGCCCAATTCCAAAAGGATTATATAAGTGATTGATCCACACTTTAGTTGAGATGGAACGAATAATTCATAAAACAATACATTACAATATGGTTTCTTGCAATAAATTATCAATAGGCTACCCTGGCACTAATGCAGATTGCAGCTTGCTTTACTGTATACCAAAACAAGCATTTCGGTTTTTGAACAGCTAAGAGTCCGTTAAGTCAACTCTATACACTTTTATGTGTTGAAAAAGTATGTGTTGGCTTTACTTAACTTTTTTTTTGTAAACAGGTTCCACCAGTTACACATAACTTGGTTTCGTTAAACAAACATAACTGTCTGTTCTCTAATCGCTCTCGCGGCACTTTGATATCATACGCTGCTTTAATAAAAATAAAAAATAAAATAAAAACCCCACAAAAAAAAACACTTGAAGTGGGCGTAAACTGAAGTCACTAAAAAAAATAATATGCTTTATCTAATCAATAAAATTGTGGCAACCTATTACAAGCAATATTATTAATTAAATTGTACAAATTATAATTAATTAGATATTAATTTGATTAACTATCACTCAATTCTAATTTGTTCAATTTAATAAATAATATTGCTTGTAATCTGTTGCCACAATTTTATTGATTAGATAAAGCATATTCATTTTTACAGTGAGGCTGCAGAGAGATTCTATTGGGAGTGGATGCTAATATAGTGATCTTTATTGCCATTCTTTGTGTGAACTAGGGGGTGTGCGATATTGACAACATTATATCTCGATATTTTCTGGGATTTTCTCTAACGATTATAGGCGATATTTTGCTGCGTGTGTTTTTTGTGTTGGTACTTTGGCAGGTTTAAGACTGCCGTGGACAGAGACTCCTAAAGATGTTGATATTCTTCATACCATGTGTGGTGGTCAGTTCGCAGCAGTGACAGAAATGATATTTTCCAATATGTTTCAATTGATATTTATCTAATAAAAGGCATTTTACCTTTAAAATCTATTTTTGAACCTAATTCAACTGTCAATTTCACAAATTTAATCAAATTCAATAATAAAAATAACATAGGGCTGTTACCAATCAAATGAAATCAGTATCAACAAAAGTAATCTTCGCAATATTGATCTTTAAAATTATTTAAAACAAGAAAAGATACTTTAAAGTGAAACTGAAACTGAAACCGCCAGTAGGGGACAGCAAGTCGAATCATTAAGATTCAAATGATTCATTTAAACGGCTGATTCATTCAAGGAAAGAATCATTTGACTATCTTAAAATCCCGGTAAAGGCAATTCTAAAAAAAACCAAAAAAACATTCTAAACACATAATAAAGGTTAGAAATGTATTGCTAAAACGTATTACAAATACTGTGGATTTTGAAGTACTGAATTGTGGAGTTAGACCGTTTAACCGTTTTTCATAATTAGTGTGTTCCGGATTTTTTGGGCGGGGCTTAAACAGGGCTCACGGATGCACTGATGCCCCTGAGCTCATGGACACGCCCCTATTTGATGACGCATTGGAGCCACTGAGGCTGGCCCCTCCCCTAACAATATAAATAGAGTTAACATCAGTTTGCCACTCAATCGCGAGTCAGTATTATTAGTGACTACAACCAACAGTTTGCTAGCTATGCCTTCATCACGGAAATGCGTAGTACCTGGACGCGGTCACATACAAAACAGATCGGTATCTTTATTTAAATTTCCTAAAAACGATCACATCAAGAAGAGGTGGATTCATTTTGTGTAGAGCCAACCTTGATGGAGAGCTGAGAATCAAAGAACACATACCTCTGTAGTGATAATTTTACACGGGATAGTTTTATAAACTTTCACCAGAGACAACTGGGATTCACTGATAATCCGCTGTTACTGGTGAACGGGGCCGAACCGACTATCTCACACGTCTGCCTTCATCCTCCCACAGCGCAGACAACTGGTGAGTGCGAGTGGGCGTGGTTTCAGCCAGTGGATACGCCCCTAGCGTTTGAGAGCAGAGACTACTGCTAATTTTTTTTCAAGATTTTGAAATCTTATTTTATGTACTTGCCAGCTTTTTTCAAATTTGGGTGGCTAATAATACGTGTTTCTGTGGTATGACAAACTCAGAACACACACTTAATTTCCACTTTAATCTATCCTAGTCAACTGATTCGTTCAAAAAGCTGATTCACTCAGTAAGAAAGCACCGCCGTGTGTGGCTTTGTTTTGAATTATTTTTGTTGGCGAAACAGAGCAAAAACAGGCAATATGGTGTCTAAAATGTAAGTCACTTAATATTAACTTCTTGGTTATTAAACTTGTATAAAATCAATATCACATTTATCATGCTGATATTTAGAGAAAACTGCACTGTTGTGATATTTATTACGAAGTTAGGCAGTGAAAGTGTGCACTCTAAATGTGCACCCACACTATAATCTACAAGACTACATCACGTAGACAAACCCAGTGACAGATTTATAGAGAATGGGAAACTACGCCATGACTCATGGCGCAGTGCACTCTGGGTAGCGGCGGCCATATTTTAGGACACGGTTGTCTTAACTAAGGTAAACAAACACACGCATGGACCGTGCGAAGATCAAGCACGAGGTTATCTACCGAGATAAGCTGAACAAGGAAGCAAAGGAGCGCTACTTAGAGAAAATAAAGGCAATTAACGGGCTCGATCCGTACGAACACAAATAGTGATCGACTGATCTGAACAAGCTACCGCAAACAACATTTCCTGACGTGTTTTCTTACCTTGTTTGTGGTGTGAGCGCATACACATTTGAACCAGACACACCTCTCTGTCAACAACAACACTGCAAGTTAAACTCTGCGTCGTATATATTTTCTTTTTTACTTAGGAAACATTTTAGTTAAGTTGTTTACTTTTATTAAATGTAATTTCCAGGCGAAACGCTGTTGTTTTTGTTGTTTCTGCAATATTCTAGATTAGTTTCTGTAATAAATCAGAATCCAGTTTATTTCCAGGTTTTCACATACGAGGAGTTTACCTTGGTATGGTGCTTAACCGTACAAATCAACATAAATAAAGAACTAGTAAAAAGATCAAAAGTCATTGTCTACAAAAAATATAGGCTGCAGATTTGAGGTTTCTCACGTAACCTCCGTGTCCTAAAATCCCACAATGCCTTGCGTCACTGGGATCCGCTGACATCGATCCTATTCTGTAACAACTAACATTGTATTCAAGTATTTGATCAATTTATGCACTTGCTATGTAAAATACATGCATGCATACATTATAACGCTGAATTATATTTTAAGATTACGTTTTATACCAAAGCATACTATACGACCTGAGCACATATAACGAGACATATGGTGCTATGACGTTCGTCGTTCAAGAAGTGAGATTGCATTTGCAACAAATAATGCAAGAAAAATACAACTGATAAATGCATTTCTTTCGAATATAAGATTAGAGCTAATACAAAAAATAAAAAGCTAAACACAAATTAAAAAAAAAAAGTAAAAAAAAAAGTAATTCCTGTCAAAATAAAGCAATCCGATACAAACATGCTACTCGGTTGCAAGGTCGGCCATGTTGCAAGCGCGATGATAGTAAACTTCGTAAAAAACCCAGACTGTGTAACAAACTAATCTTATAGGCCTTTATAATGTTTAAAAAATAACAATGTTATAATTGTCAGGAAAACACACGCACATCAAAATACAAAGGATATACATTTCCGTCAAATAACTAAAAAAAAAAGAGCCAATAGGCCTACTTTCGCCTTTATCGTCGGCTGAAGGAGAGATGTAACCTCAAATAGACTGTCTTCCAATGGTCAAATAAAAACACACTGCAAAAAACAAACGTGAAAGCCTTTCTGTCAAACTGCTTATGATTCGAGTTCACAAAACAACGTCGGCAAGAAGAGAGACTAGGTCTAAAAGTCTTACCATGATCGAGTAAACACCAGAGGAATACGGGGTCAACTAATGTGACATTTCAACTGAGGCGTCGGAGCTTGCTGCGTTCCAGTCCACTTTTAGACACTCAAGTTCGAGGCTGACTCCAGCTTCTGTTTCAACCAGCTCCTTATTCGTCGAACTATTCATTCCACCTTAAAAATGTTAAAGGAACAGTTGTATGCGAATTATGAGCCTGTTGATCGGGCAGTATTTTGAAAATATGTAGCTACTCCTGTAAAAATTATCTTGTCTGCCTCTGTAAATGGTGTAGGCTACACTACATGGTAAATTTAACAAGACTGCTTATTCTGTATTTAAGTGAATTACAACT